GAGAGAGAGAGAGAGAGAGAGAGAGAGAGAGAGAGAGAGAGAGAGAGAGAGCGCGAGAGGGAGCACATCAACGTGTGCACAACCAAGATGGAAGCCCTAAACTCATCTTGGAAGTGACATACCCTCACTTCTCACAGCATTATACCAAACCTAGCGTGACCTAGGAGGGGATTACACAAGGGTGTGCATAACAAGAGGCAGGGATCAGTGGGACATCTTAGAGACTGATTACCATACTCGGGCAACGTCTAGGGGTGAGAGGAGCAGCCACACTTTTATGTTTGCATCTTAATTTACATGAATGGCAGCCCCTGACATTTTGCAGCATACAAAATATACGATCACACATAGTGGTCCAGGTAGCAGTTCCTGAACAAGTGGGGAAGTCAGGGGAATTTGTCCTCAGTACGCTTCTACTCCCTGTTAGAACTTCATTTATTTGTTTATTTATGAAACAAACATTTTTTTAAAAGCACCTGGTTGTACCTTTGTGTTGGTACTGAACTAGGTAGGTAACGGGGTTACAGTTCTAACGGAGTTTCAATTTTCCTACACCACTGTTGCCCGTAAGTATCCAAAACATTTGGGGTGACTACAGCCTCCCTCAAGCCAGACAGTACGCAACAGATCATTGTTTTCTATCCCACTCTCTCAGGGCCCTAATCTTTGGAAGACCTGAGCTAATATGATGTTTCTTTCCAAGGGTATAATATAAATATGTAACAACCCCTGATAATTGGGTGCCTAACAAGAAAAGAAGTTGCCTAAACAAGAAGCAGGGCTCTACCAGTATAATGCTGCTGCTAAAATTCAGCACAGTTCGCCTGAGAGAGGTCTTTTCTATCACCCATCCATCCAGTCAAACTGGAAAACTAACCGTGGCTGTACTTACTCACGAAGTTGGCAGGAGCAACGTTTTAAGAAGGAGCCTTCAAAAAACATTCCCATTTGCCAGTTTCAGGGGGAAAAATGTAGGCTCTAAATTAAAGCTCAGAAATAAAAAAATGTAAGAAAGGAGTGAGTTCATGACGACAGACTGATGGACCAGAGCAGAAAATATAAGGAAGGTGAGCTATTTGTCTTGGAGACCAAGTGTGCGCCACAGAAGAGACAAATGGAGAAAATCAAATAAATATTTATGTTTGTAACACTAGACTCATGGTAAAGTGTCCTTAAGTTCAGACTCCAGAGTCAAACTGCTGATTTCAAGTCCCAGCTCTGCTCCTCACTAGCTACGTGATGTGGGTGAGTGACTTAAACCCTCTGTACCTCAGTATTCTTATCTGTACAGTGGGGCTGATTGCATAAAACCAACCTATGTGGTGGTTGTGACCCAGTATAACTGAAGTGCTTAGCATGCTGTTTAGCATACATTAAGAACACGGTAAGCACTAATTATTATCACTGAAGAAATTAGAACAATACCTACTGTGTCATCAACTGAAAGAGACCAACTTCATTCACTCGATCATTATCTATTGAATATGTACAGCACTGAACCCCAAACGACAAAATCCTTTTTCTCAAGGTGCTTTAATGTGGGAGGGCCGGGAGAGAGAGGAAAAAGAAAGCAGAAGGGGGAAACTAAGAAATAAGTAAAAAAATGTATTATGTCAGGTGGTGATCATGGAGAACAATAAAGCAGAGGATGTGGATAGGAAGTTCTGGGGGAGGAGTGGGAAGAAAGAATGTTCTAGACAGAGGAAATAGCAAGTACACAGGTCTTGAGGCTGAGGAATGCTTGGCGTGTCTGTCCATAACTGCAAGGCGGGTGTGGCTGGAAGGAGATGAGGATGGAGTGAAATCGTACAGCTTGAGGTCAGAGGAATCCTGCATGGGAATGGTGGGCAGATCATGCAGGGCATGTGTCCATATTCAGCACTTTGGCTGTTGCTCTATGATGGGAAGCCACTGGAATTTTTGAGAAGAGAGACATAATCTAATCTTTGTTTTTAAAGGACAGCCAGCTGTGTGTAGGTGTGGGGGAGGGAGGGGCGGAGAGTGGGAGGTAGACAGATCAGGTAGGACATAATTATTGAGAGATGATGGCTTAGACCAGGACACCAGCAGTGGGGAGGGGAGTGAGGAGTGGACATTTTCACCGTATATTTGTGAAGGCAGAGTCAACAGAATTTGCTGACGAATATGATGCTGAGTGTAAAGCAGAGAAGGTTCAGAGATAGGGAAGTTCTGAGGACAAGGATTTTTCTCTTTTATTCAATGTCATATACCTACCACCTAGACAGTGCCTGGCATCAATAAATATTCCTTGAATAAACGAAAAGGGTAACTGATTTGTATTAAATCCATTTTGAACTTAGTAAATAGCAGTGAAAACATCCACAGTCAAACGAAGTACTGTAGCAACCATAATTTCAGCAATTAAGCAGTGAAAGGTCTTCCAATCCTTTCCTCCACAAAGATCGAAGTTAACTTTGCTGCATCGCTGGACACCCCGTTGCCAACGACCCAGCACTCCCTTGGTAAGTGAGGCTGGAGGTGGGGGTGGGAGAAATTTCGTGGAAGCTAAGTTTGCAAAGCAGGTACTTTTTTTTTTTTTTTTTAAACGGTTATTTGGGGTGAGGAGTACAACAGAACCTAATGTTCCCTCAGGCCACCTACAGCACTGCTACTGTTCCCATATCCTTCAACTGGGCATGAAGGCAGCTTCCCACTCACTCTGACAGTGGCGCACCCTGTACTCCCCACCTCTCTCTTCAATACCCCAGGGCTAAACGGCCCGAGGCTCCTCTCTACCGGCTGGTGTGCATTCTGGGCCAGGGCGAGCCAAAAGGCAGAAGGGCCTTCGTGCTGCAGTGTCGGGTGAAGAGTCAGGCTTAGCCTGGACGAACTTTCCAGGCCAACGTGAAGTTTTCCTGTCTTGGGTATATGCGGGCCCCACGCGTCTGCGAGTTTGGGTTAGTGTGTCAACAGGGTCAGTCCCCGTAGCTACTTTGCGAAAGCTTCGAGGCGAGCGTGGAGTCAAGGGCTGCGGTGGATGGGGGTGAAAGGCCTCCTCGCCCCACTGCCTGCACCGTCTTGGGGCAACCCCCAACCCCCAGCCGGCATTTCCCTTTAATGCGCGTGCCCGTCAAGGTCCTCGCGTCCCCTCCCCTCAAGCCACCCCGTCGGCCTCGGTTTCCCCCACTTCTCTCCCTCCTTGTCGTTCCTTCCCCGTGGGACGCCCCTCGGCCACCCCCGTCAGAGCCCGGCCTGCGCGCGGGACCCAGCTGTCACTTTACTTTTCCACGCCGCCTCCCCACCCCCTCTCCCGACCAGTGGGGCAGCCCGCCCGGGCACGCGCCCGCCCCCGCCCCCTCGCGGCCGCGCGCCGGAGGAGGAGGGGCGGGGGAGGAGGTAGGCGCGCGGCGCCGCACGGCCGACGTGGGGCTCGCGCTCTCGCGGTCTCTCCCAGGCGGGTGCGCGGGGACGCGCACTCGCGGGTGCGCGCGCGGACGGCCGGGCGGCGGCGGCTCCCGGAGGTGGTGGCTTCACTTTCCAGGACTCAGGGGCAGCCACAGCGACAGCCGCGGGCAGCAGCCTCAGGAGCCGGAGCTGGAACGGCCGGGGGCGGCGGCAGCGGCGGCACTGAGGGTGAGTCCGGGCGGGCGCGAGCGCGGCGGGGACAGGCGTGGTCGGGTGCGTGGTGCGTGGGTCCGGCTTTCGGTGACTAGACGGTCCGCAGGGGACATCCCGTCCCTGGGGCCTCCCTCGTCTCCCTCCCCCTCGCGCGTCGGCAGCTCTCTCCTCGGGCTTCGGCTCGAGCCTGCGACCTGCACGGACACCCCCCTCAGGTATTCGCTCGGGCCGCGCCGGTGCCTCCCCTCCTCGGGCGTCCTCTCTCTCGCTGGCGTCCTCCTTACTCCCCCGACCTCCCTTCCGCGCCGCAGGTCTCTGCTTACACCGCTCGTGTCCTAGTTCCCTCCTTCCTCGCTCCCCGGGCCCGGTTCCCTGCTCCCCCTCCCGCGAGCCTCCTGCCCCCGTTTCTCGCCCTTTCTACCCCTCCCCCTCCTTCCCATCCCCCCCTTCTGCCTCTCTTCTCCCTGTCCTCCTTCTACCCCCTTCCGTTCTCAGTTCCCCATCCTTCTCCACCCTCCCAGCGCCTGCCTTCTCCTAGCCGCATCCTGGAACTAAGTCTTTGCAAAAGTACAGGATAAATGTCACGGTGGAAAGTGCCCGGCTTGATCTTTTGCTATTTTCCCTAATTGCATAATTGCTGCACATGGTGTCTCTCCTGGCGAGTGCCGGGTCTGGCTCCTCCGCCGCCGCACCCCGGTGGCCCGCCCGGAGAAGACCTTGTGGGGTGTATTTGTGTGTGTCCTGGTGTGGGGTGTGTGTTGTATTGGTCTTTTGTGATGCCTGGCGCTTGTCACAGTTTGGAACCGAAGCCCATTTTTCACTGGTCTCTTCTCTGCAGCCCCCACTGGCCTGGTTTGAAACTGGATTCCCTCTGTCCTCTCCCCCTTCCCCCCCCCCACTTCTCCCCCTCTTTTCTCCCCTCTCTCTCATAGTGTTTTGATCTTTTTGCCCTTTACAATTTCTAATGAAGATAAAGCGTGGCTTCTTGTGGCTTTTTTTTCCCACGACCAACCAGAAATGTCCAATCCATCTTCCCTTAAGGAAATTAAGGCCGCTTTAGAAAGACATCATCCTGTGCTCGGTGGCTGTTTAGACCTATTTGCATGTTTTCTAAGATTCATCGTTTTGTATTGTGTATTCTTGAGAGTCTACTCAAATATTTTCATTTAAAAGTACGAAAGGAAGTGCTAAGGTTTACCCTCACATTATCTCGCGGTTCTAAAAGATTTTACACTCTTCTTAGTTTTTAATCCCTGATTCTTTAAAAAGTATGTTTCTAGATATGTAATAATTCAGTCTGCACTTTGTGAATCTAAATATTTGCCTTTACTACGGCAATTTGGATGCTCCTTGGCTCTTTGGAGTTCTGTATGTGGGCTGATGCTGAAGATAGGGTGTTTTCATATAATGCTATACCCCATTCTATTTCCCCTGCAGCACCTTTTACCCCCAAACCAGGTGTTCCACTATTATTTTCTGCATAAATGTCTTTGCAGTTAAATTTAAAGCTGAATATTGCTGTGTGCATATACTATATTTATTTTACATTTTAGAAAAGTTTAGAAACATGAGTAGGAAGACAGCAAGATCTATATGACAGAATTAAACGCTTTCTTGTTATAAAAGCTCAAATGAACCCTTGGTTTTGCAGTTTTATACTAGTAGATACTGTTATAAGGCTTACCTGGATAGTAGGCTGGATTTATGAAATGACTATAGTTGCCTTTATGTGGTCAGTAATATTTCAAGCCAAATCATTTCATTTTTATGGAACACGTGTTTATGGAACACGTGAGTTTCGTTCACTGTATGTTGCTAATTTCCAGGACTGTAATTACAACATAGGGTATATAGCTAATACAAGCTTAGACAGTTTGTGTTGAAGAAGTAATAGAATGTAAGCCTCTTAACATAGTTTGAGGAAGGACTGCCTATTTTATGTTTAAAAATTAAGTTTTACTTTGAGTTACGAAGCAAGCATATTAATTTATATATCTCAATATCTTTGAAACTATCGTTGGAGAGTAGCTCTTTGTTTATAACCCTGGGATTTAAGTTTATCTTCCCTGTAGATTAGATAATGGGATCAGATTAACTGTTTAGGAATTAATTTTAAAATGCTAATTTAGAAGATAATGTTTAAAGAATTTTAATTCAGGAATTTTTATTCATTTGTACTTTAGAGAGACAAGACATCAATTTTACACTTATGACTAATTAAATTGATTTATAGACTACTTTTTCTTCATAAAAATTCATTGCACCTGAGTAGCACAATAATTTTTTTCTGTACTTTTTCTGTAAGCAAGCATTCAAAAAACAAACCGAGGAGAAGCTCCTCTTATTATTGATATTTGAAAAAGAGATGTGAACACTTTATTTCTGAACGTTCCTATAGTGGTTATCAGTGGCCTCAGATGGATTTATCATTTGTAGGTTAACATTTGGATGAAATAGGTGTCTTAAGTCGAAAGTGGAAATAATTCTTTTCCTTAATGTGAAACTAGAAATTACGCCTCTATTGGGGAATTTCTAATAGTATTTTTATTAGTTCTCTAGTGAGACTAATTTTTACTTTAGTCTTCCTCTGATATTCAGCAGTAGTTTATGAAATTTGGGTTTCAGATTATGGTTCAGATGACATCATTGAGTAATCTTTTTAAGTAATTATATAACTATGGCATTCGATAGTATGTGAATGCACATAAATAAGAATATTGAGAAGAATGTGTGGTTTTATAACGAATGTGATACACAACTGAAACTCTCGGCATAGTTTAGTAAATCATAGTTTATTAAACTGAAGCTGCAGCCTCAGTATAGAGAATATTATTTCATTGAGGTTCCCATATATTTATCATGGAACAGATTGCTCCTGTTTTAAAATGTATAAAATGATTTCTCACTCATTTCACATTTCTTAAGGTATCGCTGGCAGCATTTTGCTGTATCTGAGCACCTTTCCCTGAGGATTGTTCTCGTTTTCACTCTCATGCGTGCTGCCCTAACTGATATGCCATTATGTACATACTTAGAAGGTTTTAAACTTCTGATATATTTTAACTGAAAGAAGTAAGGTGAAAAAAAAATTAAATCCAAGAATGAGAATTTAGAGTAAAATAAAAATGAAAAAAAGCAAGAAATATGTTATGACTTTTAGAGCTAGATGTGAAACATACTGATATAAAATTTCAGTATTCTATTAAGTGACTTTAGTGCTCATAAAAGATGTCACAGCTGTGGAGACTGGTGCTCTCCATTTACAGAATAGGTAGAAAAGTAGTCAGCTTTTCCATTAGTATGTTTCAGAGCTGTTGAGGCAGACCTGTTTTTGTGTAGCATGGGGAGCTGTTGGGGGTTGAACGGGTGCTGGTGGTGGTGTGTGTGGCGTGTCAGTGAAAGGATTCACTATTTTCTGTTGACTCTTTGCGGCTCTGTGCTTCGTGATGCCTCCATTCTTTTGCAGTGCTTTTTGGTTTGTCTTACAAAAATTTCAGTCTATTAAAGATCGGTGTTACAACATTGCTTTGGCTTGGAGCAGACTACAAGTTAAATCTTTAGTAATGATGAATTTTCATCAGTGTCAAATAGCTATCCATTTGGACTAAATTGTAGTAATTAAAAATTTTGCTTTATTGAGGTATCTTTACCTATTCTTATTGATCATATCAGAAACAGTTTTATTTCAAGTCGTAATTTGAATAAGAATAATCAAAAGGATCCATTTCAAAAGGAGTTTATTCAGTGTACCTCTAATTTTTAAAGGTTTTTTTTTGTTGTTAATGGTACTTGTTAAGTATAGGTATTTGTTTTTAAAGAGGTGTCTGAGAAGGTAGCTATACAGTGCTCAAAGTGATTATTAGGTGACAAAACTGTGGTGAGCACAAGACCTTTTAGAGTCTGGGCATGGGTTTTGTTGGTTCAGTTCTGGATTTGTCAGAACACTGTAAGCTAGTCAGCTCGTAAGGGATGTATTCGTAGTCATCAAACTCAGAAATTGATTATGGTAGAATGACAGTTGAGAAGAGATACTCCTTTTCACTTACTGGAATTGTTTGTGTCTCCTGTCTAGATTATAACAGCTACCTAAATATCAAGCTATTGAGGAAATTGAGTTGGTAATCAGAGCTGCTTGGGGAGCCTGAACTCATAGCAAAGGGAATTTGAACGCCTTGAGGGATATTTTAGCCAGACTGTGGGGAAAAGAAAAAAAAAAAAATTCTTCAGTGTCTCGCCATCTTTTGTGAAATATGGTTGCTTTAGTATATAGCTGAATCAGTGCTGATGCCGTTGTATGGTTCAATTTTTATTTAGAATCATGCGGTCATGCAGGCCTCTGGGTTCTTCTGTTATCACAAAGGTTACTTAAAACAATTTACTAGTTTGGAGAATTTTAACCTTAGCCCAGCCCTGAGGATGTATTGATGGAATAGGGATTTGAAAGAATCCTCCCATTTTTCTGTTCCCACAACTATTTGTACTAACCTTCGTTTTTGTACTTAGCAAGTTGGCTAGTCCAGGTTTTTCACAGTTGTGGGACCAAAGGGTTTAGCACAGCGCCTGGTAGAGAGTAGACCCTTAGTCATTTTTTTCTTATTTTTTGTAACAGCATTATTGATATGTGATTCACAGACTATAAAATTTACCGTTTAAAAATGTAAAACTCTGTAGTTCTTAGAATATTTATTATTAGAATTGAGTAACATTATCATTATCTAATTTAAGAACATTTTTATCACCCCACAGGGAAGCATCCTACCCATTAGCAATCACTCTTCACTGCTCTCCCCTCACTCCCTGGCAACCACTTACCCATTTTATTTTTTTATTATTATTATTATTATTATTTTTGAGACAGGGTCTCGCTCTGTCACTCAGGCTGGAGTGCAGTGGTATCAATCATAGTTTTATTTTTTGTAGAAATCAAGTCCCGCTGTGTTGCCCAGGCTGATCCTACCTGGGCTTCCCAAAACATTGGGATTTACAGGCGTGAGATTTACTACTGAATTTGATGTTTATGAATTTGCCTATTCTGGACATTTTATATAAATAGCTTGTGGTCCTTTGTGGCTGGCTTCTTTCACTTACAGAATGTTTCAAGGTTCATCCATTTTGTAGCACGTAGACACTGTATTTCATTCTTTTTTATGGCTAACAGTACATTATGTGAATATACTACTACATTTTGTTTATCCATTCATTCGTTAGTGGATATTTGAGTTGTTTCCAGTTTTGGTTATTATGAATAATGTTGCCGTGAACGTTTCATGTATAAATTTTATATGTTTTCGTTTTACACTACATTTTGAATGGAGGAAGGAAAAGTTTTAGCAAGTCCCAAAGCTGCATTGTTTTGTAAATGACCAATTTAATCCGTTTTATATTGAGATTTACTTGTTTTACTTTGAGATTCATTCTCTGTGTTCTGGAGGTAGCTTACTGTAGTCCTCCTCACAGCTGAATAAATGATTTTTGATTCTTTAATCCAGGATCTAAAATGTCCACTGAGGCACAAAGAGTTGATGACAGTCCAAGCACTAGTGGAGGAAGTTCCGATGGAGATCAACGTGAAAGTGTTCAGCAAGAACCAGAAAGAGAACAAGTTCAGCCCAAGAAAAAGGAGGGAAAAATATCCAGCAAAACCGCTGCTAAATTGTCAACTAGTGCTAAAAGGTATCTCAGTTATTATAACCTTTTTATTTTTGGTATCAGTTTATCATCTTAAGTTCTATTTTTCTCTTGCATTTAATCATTTTTTCCGGGATTGTCGGCCATGAACTTTGTGGATTTTTCTTTCCCCTTCAAGATGATCTCTTTTACATGGTTTTAGCCATAGGGAACTTCAGTATTTAAAGTCAATTAAATGGCATGGCAGATTCATAAAATACTTTTCCATAGTGTGTTTGTGTGTTTGTGTATTATTAGGGAAGCATATACAGGGCGTGCATGTAAAGTTGCAGTGGTTTCATTTATGGTTACTTGACCATAAATATTTTTTTTCTGTTCCGTAACACAGAATAGAGATTAGGAATCTTTTGAAGTGGTTGAGTGAGTGATAGTTTATTTTCCACTACTCCCAGTTGGTAGAGTCAGAAATGCTGACATTAGCGACAAGTGCATCTTAGTTTCATTACATTAGTCAGTGGATCCATCTTGATACAGATTTTTCTCTTTCTCTGGAGAATAGATGGATCTAGAAAGTAGGTATTCGAATGGTCTTCTTTTGGTACATCAATCTCTTAAAATGATTGGCATGTCAATGGACTTAGAGGGAATCTGTTTTGATATTGTTACATTATAGAATATCTCTTGGAAAATAATTTGAAAGATAAAGTAGTGTCTTTTCTGATCCTGTGATTTTATGTTCTTGCTTTGTTTTCATATGTTTTATATTGCCCAAATAGGAAGTATAAATAAAAGCGATCTGTAACTTTTAGGCATAGTGGAATGCCTGAATGTTGAATTACAGCTTTATATGTTATTTTATGGTGTGGATTAAGGGGAACTCCTTTCTCAAAGATAAAAAACCATTATTATGTTCTAGTAGACCTTGTTTCCCTTTGGCTTAGTCAGTCTACAGGATTGTAAAGAACCTTCTCAGGCCCCTTGGTGAGAGATGTTGGAGGGATGGTGAGTGGTTATTCCAAGGTACTAGAGTATTCAGTTTCCCTTTCGTGGGGGTATATTGCTGATCTCTGTTGAAGGAGCTGTTTGAAAGTCAGAGAGCCCTGAACTTTAAACTTTTAGACCTGTATACTAGAACATGCTAGGGTGGGGAAGAGGGTTCAGTTTGTTTTGCCATCACACTGCAATTACAGGGGACTCAGCTGGCTGACCCTTCTGTTGCCAGACCACAACACAAATGACCTGCTTAGAGGTGACCTGGGAAATGGGGGGTGGGGTTAGGATGGATAAGAATAGAGAAAATGTGACATTTAGGTGAAAGAAGGAAGTCGATGTGGGTGGAAAGGAGATGTTCAGGTACAGATTGTAGTTCCATGTAGATGCGGAAAATCTAATTCAGTCCTCAGTGTCTGATTGGGTTGTTACAGGGCCTTTTCAGTTTGTCAGAAAAGGGCGAGGATTGGTTGGCCAGGTCCTTGGGGAATAGGGTTCTGCTGGGCCTGTGCTTTATTTTGTGATTGCTAGTTAGCAAAGTCACCTGTTGTGGTGACGCTCTGCCTTTTCCCCTAACTGGGAGCTCCACTATAATATACCTTAAAATCATATTTCTTGCATGATATGCCAAAGACCAAATTCTGCTGATGAAAGATGTACTGCTTTATGTGTGAACATGAGTTTTTCAAGTACATGGGTCATCTTTATTTTACTACACTATATGTAGCAAGTACAGATTATTCAAACCTAATGATAGATTTCATGAGGGAAAAATATGGAAGATGTTTTTCTGCTCTGTACATAGGAGATAAAACCTAGTTTAGAGATAGTGTATGTACAGAGCACAGGACAGTGCCTGACTGGCAGTAAAGAGTAAGTGGTTGTATTGCGTTGGTGAAAGTAAGAAATCTCTTTTGAGTTGCTTCCTGGCTGAAAGAGTCCCTCCGTTGACAAATTCCTGTGAATCTGTGATTTTCAAGTTGTGGTTCATGATCTTCCTCTAGAAAGGTCTTCAGTTGGTTTTCGGGTGACACTGTATGAAGTGATGTAATTATTTACTGTTTATTTTAAATATAAAAATGCGGCTTTGCTACTAATTTTTTAATTTAAAAAAAACCTTATTTTCCCCTCTCTCTTCCTCCGATTCATCTGATAGGGAAGTTGTTGGTTCTTTGCCATTTCTGCTTAACTTAGGAAAAAAATTGGAAATTATGAGAACAGAGGACCCCACATCTTTTAAGTTCACTGTCATATCCACAGTGCCTAGCAGAGTGCAGTCACAATATTTACTTACTGGTTACCTTGGAACCCTGAGCTTATTTTAGGGATCGGATTTTCCATGGATATTAGGAGCCTAGTACTAGTGTGTTCAGAAGATTGAAAGTTAGAGGTAGTTTCAAAATAAATTTTATTTCACACTTTTTTGTTGATGATCATTTTTATTCAGATGAGAAGTCTTTCCCAAATAGTGTCATTTTATGAGAAAGAGTAGCATTGAAGAGCTTGAACTCTAGAGACAGTATCTACGTTTGAATCTAGGTTCTAGCATTTAGTAGCTATAGCTCTGTGGTCTTTTTTTTTTTCTTTTTCTTTCTTTCTTTTTTTCTTTTTTCTTTTTCTTTTTTTTTTTTTTTTTTTTTTGGGGCAGAGTCTTGCTCTGTCACCCAGGCTGGAGTGCAGTGGTATGATCTCCAACTCCTGGGCTCATTCAGTCCTCCCACCTCAGCCTCCCAAGTAGCTGGGATTACACGGGTGTGTCACCACACCAGGCTAAATTTTTAATGTATTTTTTGTAGGGACGGGAGTCTCGCTGTGTTGCTCAGGCTGGCCTTGAACTCATGGTTGCAAGCGATCCTCCTGCCTTGGTCTCTCAAAATGTTGGAATTACAGGCATGAGCCACTGTGCCTAGCCTCTGCGATCCTGATGTATAATTTAACAGCTTGGCCGGGCGCGGTGGCTCAAGCCTGTAATCCCAGCACTTTGGGAGGCCGAGACGGGCAGATCACAAGGTCAGGAGATCGAGACCATCCTGGCTAATACGGTGAAACCCCGTCTCTACTAAAAAAAAAAATACAAAAAAAAAAACAAAACTAGCCGGGCGAGGTGGCGGGCACCTGTAGTCCCAGCTACTCGGGAGGCTGAGGCAGGAGAATGACGTCAACCCGGGAGGCGGAGCTTGCAGTGAGCTGAGATCCGGCCACTGCACTCCAGCCTGGGCGACAGAGCGAGACTCCGTCTCAAAAAAAACAAAACAAACAAACAAACAAAAAAAACAGCTCAAAGCCTCAATTTCTTCTTTCGTAGAAGGAAGATGATAATGGTACGCTGTTCACAAGGTTCTTGTGAGGACTAAATGTGATAAAGCATTTATTCGGCACATAGTAAGCTCTCATAAACTGATGCTGTCACTAATAGACTTTATGTCAGTTAAAGTCTGCAATGATATTTTCCAAGTCTGTTTGGTACAAACTTTGGAAAAATGAGGTATATATTAACCTTGGAGGCCTTAGTGCTGTAGTTAAACTAGAAATACTCAGATGCCGTAATTAAATACATTTTGTAGTGACTTAGGAAAGTGCTTGCACGTAGGTGCTCAGTTGTTATATGAAATGTACTATTAATAATTGCTGTAATGCAGTAATTATAGAATTAATAAGCTGATATAGAAATATGATTTGAAAAATCTCATTTGTGATATTACAGAATAGTGATATATAATACAGAAAACATTTAAGTGGGTATTTAAACAGTAGTAGAAATTAATTTCTGTCTCAGAGTTAGAGGAAAGATTACAGTTACATCTTACATGCATTTTTGCTTTTCTTTGGCAAGAGTTTGTTTCTTAAAAAATTGTCATGCTCTTATCACAGCCTGTTCTCTTGATATGTCTATATCACTCTTGTTATATTTGCAAGTCTGTAGTTGGACTATATCTGCAGTGACAGATTTAGATTATTTTGATTAAATTGACTAGTCAGTTCAATAAAACATCTATTTTGAGATCTTCGTTGAATTTATTCTGCTGCTTTTATGGGTTGATACATCTGTAAATGTGAATTTTAAATCATATTTATTCTAAATTAACTTTGTTCAGAGTAGACATGGTGATTTTATTTTTGGACACTCAATATGATACTGTTCGAGGTGTAGTTTTTGGTTTCAGACTCTAAATTTTTGTTAGGTTGAAAAATTGATTCCACTGTATTCCAGTTTGAACTTTTATCTTACGGGCTCTTGTAAGTTTGTTTTCCACATGAGAATGAAATAGTACTTTTATAGATAATCTTCTGTAATTACTGTATTTTATTCATTCTGAATGCACTTTTTAAAACTTTCTAATGTTTCTGAAATTGGGACACATCTTAAAATTTATGTGCACAATTATTGATGGTGTGTCTTAAAATCAATGATCTTTTAGAGTCATATGTATGTAGTATATACCACCATCCAGAATGAAACTCTAGACTTCTTATTTGCGATGGCAATGTGTTTTCTAAAGATTGCTTTGACATTTAAAAATTTTAAATTATTAGTTGCATGACACTTTCTTGAGAATAAGGTCATTTTGGAAGTTTTTTGCTAGGTGATTCAATTGATTAGAATAGAGGGTTTTTAGGTTGACTGAGGATTGTAGTCTGTAAGGGAATATAGAAAGTTATCTAGATGAGATGAAGGGTTTTTAAAAAATTCCTGCTAAGAAATTACTTTGCAAATCTACATTTCCACACATTCATGTTCTACTTGGCTCTGAGTAAATTTTTGAATTTTCTTTAACCCAAGAAATGTATGTGTGTGTTTTAAAGATGTTAGTACATATACACTACTTCATTTTCCTGAACCCATTTTCCAATATATTGATGTTAAAATGAGAGTTTCATATCCTCTCTGTTCTGTATAATTTTGGTACCATATTCTTCATTTAAGTCTGAATGAATCATGATTGTTATGATTCCCCTCCCCTGCTATTTTTTTAAAGCAAATAACAATCCCACACAGTACTCTTACTGTACTCTTATCATTCGTTCCTGGAACAGTTAAGGTATAAGGTAGAATAATATACATTGAAATTTAATTTGTATATTGCTTGTGACTTGTCTCAGTAACAATAGGCAGTTGCTGACTTCTGTATCATACTAACCTAAGAGGTGACACTGCCTTATGGAAACTGGAAATTTCGGCAATTGTCCAGGTGATTTTTGTGTAAAATAATTTTGACTTAAAAGTTCTGATGAGGGAAGTCTTTTTGTTTGACTTAGCAAGATAATAGTTCTCCATCTTTCACCTTACCAGTATAAAATAATTAGCCTTAGTTTTCCTTGTCTTTTAAATGGGAACTGATAAAACAGATACTTAGAGAATTCTGTAAGATTTACCGGATCACTTTTAATGGTAAAAGATCATCATGGGAAAGGTACATTGTAAGTGTGAATTATTGATACTTTTCATTTTTCCTCACCCTAAGAGACAGTCCCTGAAATAGGTACCTTCCTTATCCCCACTTGTCAAGGCTGAGAAACTTAATACATACCATGATCACAACTTTTGAGATAGAGTTGAATTGCTGTCATTGAAAACAGCAGGACATCTTACAACCGTTTAAATAGCAATTCTTAGTATAATCTTTTCTGTCAAGAGAAATATAACCATTTTAGGTAACAGTGGCTCAAAATATATTATAATATTATTGACTCACTGCTCAGACTTGTTGAATTCATCAGTAAATTGCTTTTTATATTGAATAATATAGGCTTAGAATTATAGGGATCTGGAGTTCAACTTTTGTATAGTACTATATGACAGCAAATTATGATTTATCAATTTTTTTTCTCTTAGAGACAGGGTCTTACTCTTGCCCAGGCTGGAGTATGTGGTATGATCATAGATCACTGTGGCCTCAAATTCCTGGGCTCAAGTGATCCTCCTGCCTTGGCTTCCTGAGTAACTGGGGCTATAAGCACACACCACTATGACCAACAGTTTCCCAAATTTTTTGTGGAGAAGGAGTCTCACTGTGTTGTGCAGGTTGGTCTCCAATTTCTGGCCTCAAGTGATCCTCCTGCATCTGCCTCCCAAAGCCCAGGGATTACAGGCATAGCCACCAATACCGAGCCTGGCCCAGGATTTATGAGTTTTTTGTTTTGTTTTTTTAAATCTAAAGGGCAGTATAAATATAAAGCAAGATGTGTTGTTTGAAAATTGCAAAGAAGTTTTTTTTATGTTAAAAAAATATATATATATATATATTTTTTGACAGCTTAAGCATGCTTTTTATAATGACTATTCTTTTGGTTCTCTTAGTTTAAAAACAATTTTTAAAAGTTATTCATGTTTCTGATAATAAACAGTACATAGATTTTTTTTTAAATGGAAAGTAACAGTTTTTTTAATCCACCCTCTGCCCCTGATTCTCCCAATTCCTTTCCCTTGAAGCAGACTGTTTAGCTGTCTTTGGTCTTATTCCTTCTGTTGGTTTTCTGTACAACTCTAAATAATACACTTATTTCTCGTTGAATTGTTAATTGAAGTAATATCTTTTGATTGCCTGCTCTGAAGTATGAGGATTTAGTTTGCTTACTATCTATTCTTCCTTTCTTTTCCTTCCTCCCAGTTAATGATAGTTAAAAATGTTTAAAAAGATTATTTGTTGCCTTTATACTCTAAAAATAAATATTTTAGCTTCTATTTCTTATTCCTACAAATAACATGTTTTTTATTCTCTGCTTTGTAAATTGGGGATAATATCTTCTCCATCCACTTTTAGCTGGTTTATATTAGCTACACTTAATTTTACATCTTCAAGGTTAATAACATTTACTTTGTACAGTGCAACCAACAACCAATCCTCTATGCTTTGTCTGTAAGTAAAAGACCAATAAATTGTACATTTATTATAACTGTAAACATTAAATGCCAGACTAAACAGCATATTAGGATTAGATTAACTACAAGTCCAGTGTCATGATCTCCGGGCTTCTCAATGAGTCATAGCATTTAGGCAAAATAGATCAAATCTTTCTCTCCCCACCTCACTCCCAATGTCTGATACTTAATTAAAGTTATTTTACATTTTAGTTTGCTTCATGTTTCATCTGTGACTTTCTTATGCAGTTTTTTTTCCTTCTAGGATTTCTGATTACTTCCCCTATGTCCCCTTTAGTAGTCTATTTTATCTGTATACACTCTGTAGCCCCCTCTTGCCTGTCTCAGCCTGTTTGATTTACACCCATTTGTTTTGTCTTGCAGAAATATATTGAAATTTCTCACTCATTGGTGACACCACCCTTCTCTTTGCTGTTTATTCCTTTTTGCATTTTCTGCATTTCCCTTTCCCACCCAGTGGGGTCCTGAATGAGTGAGAGGTGAAAGTGTGTGTGCCTAGTTTGCCATCTTTAACCTGGACTTAGCCATTTAGTTTTGAAGTGTCTGTTGTATACTTTTGTATGAAATCCAATAAAATGTGTTCTCCTCTATCAAGTCTTTGAGACTATTGTCATTTAAATATGGGCAATATGTACTTGTATGCATATAAATATATCACAGAATCCATATAAGAAGGAAGTTATAGTGTGTTAAAAGAGATCACGGAGTTTATTCTAGTTAACCTCTATTTTACAGGACAGAAAACTGAGGCACAGGGAGAGAAAGCAAGCATGTGTGAGCAGTGTTCTTGCCTAGGGACTCAATTTAATGGCCTAGCAGAATTACAATGAAATTTTCTTTGACTTTGAATTTCTTAACCGTCCTCTGATTCATAATGCCTCACCAACCTTGAATCACACAGTTTAGAAAAATGAAAATTGTACCAGTAGCATGCAGTTCCTTCGGGAAGTTGATACCAGTTCTATTGGAGGGGTCCTATTTATTCTAGTAGTTTGTTGTCTTGAAAAAGAAGTAGAATGAAATTGCTTGAGTGTAAATATTTTTGCTCAAATTCTTGTTTTGTTTTTGAAAGATACTTTAATCAGTTATTATCCATATACTGTCACAATAATTACCAGACAACAGGCATCCAGCTGTTAATAACCCCATATTTAAAAACCAAGGCAAAGGAGAAGAAACGATGTTGAGAATATTTTGGTATTTGATTTAGCAAAGCCTACGTTTAATAAGGTATGAATGATAGTTAAGGGATTGCTAAGTATAGTCTTAGAAAACAGTGGCGCGCTTTCAGCCTTTTTATACGTACATAGGATGTTAGATGCAGTTAAAAATAAAAGTAGAATGTAACCCATGAGGATAGATAGAGCAGGCTTAAAAATTTTTTTTTGGCGTGAAGCTCATGAAGTGACATTAATTGCTTATGTAATATTAGGATAGTTCTAGCAGATGAAATAGTGTTAAACGTGAAAGTCCCAACTTGCTCCAAATTAGAGGCTCCAGGAAAGAATACCATATGCGTCTTGATGGCAGTTTCAGGTGTTGGAATGAGATCCTGAATCTTTTCTTCACCATTTGATTATATCAGTCAGGATGCTTGAATTTAACTTAATATCAGCTTTCCATCCTGTATGGGAATGCTCTAATACAAAACAGAAGTTAGAATGACCCATGAATGGTGTGGCAGAAATTTCCAGCTTTAGAAATTTTAATTAGCGCTGTCAGTGGTTCAGTGAAGTCATAGTGTTCCTTCCACCGGTTGCATGTACTAATAGTGTCATCCTTTAGATGCATCCTCAAAACCCTAGCGGAAATTGCTACTTTATTGTTGGATGTGATGCTTTATACAGTATTAGTATTTCAAACTAATATACCAAAGGGAAGTATTATTAAAACATAACATTTTAATGAAATAAATTGTTAAGAGTGAAGATATTTTTAACATAATATTCTTTGTATTTATTTTAAAGAATTCAGAAGGAACTTGCAGAAATTACATTGGACCCTCCTCCCAACTGTAGGTAAGTACTTATGGTTTTTTATTTACTTGTATCTTTTGCAGAAGTTACATTTGAACTGTTGGTTTTATATGCAACTGTTATTGTAATGTGGTTAATTAGTAAACACATCATTGTTGTTTGAACTTAAGTGACTGTGGAAGACAGTGGTTTTTGTCATCTCTGTACAGAAATGGAATGTTCAGCAAGTATGTTTGTAGTGGTAGAATGGAGTTGCCAAAAGTAGTGTAATGCGATAACAATAAGACAATGAAATTATAGGGTAACAAATACAATTGCCTTTTAGTGGAAGAGGTGTTAGGGCCTTAAGTGGTTTTTTAATGATAGAATAATAGTGTGGCTAAAATATTTGCGATGTTGTAATTTTTGTTATCTTGTTGGAATTTGATTTTTAAAAGTGCAGACACATTAAATAGTGTTTCTTCATGGTTTACGTTATTATGGTCATTGGTTGTGACTAGGTAAGATTGGGTGATTTGAGGCAGTGATGTTAAGTGTAAAACTGTCTCTCACTTTATGATCATGACCCCGAATTTTCTGGTCAGTGTTTATTTTTAGGAAAGAAAAGTGCTTACCTGGAAATGGTTAATGTTATACAGATACATGGACAAAGAGGAGAAAAATAACCTCTTACCTTAAGCTGCTGCCTTGGGTCTGAAGCAGTGGTTAGAAGATCACTGTTTGATTATTTTTAAGACACTTATTTCTATTTTGAGATGAGGTCAGCATTGGAACCAGGCCAACCTGGAGTTTTTCTGGTTTAAAATGATAATCTTATGCATTGAAGGTGGAAGGGCAGATTAAACAAAAATCTTCCCAACATTGAATGCAGGTAGAATTTATTGCTTGGTATGATATCTGACTTCACTGATCTTACTTTTATGTAAAAACAAAGATAACAATGGTGAGAATTAATGAAAGTGAAAATTTTGCATATGGCTATATTGATAGTTGGTTAGTTGACAACTATTTTGTGTAGGAAAAATTCTAATAGGACTTACTTTGTGGTGAATCTAATATGGTTCTTTAAATGAATCATATACAGTTTATAAACTTACAGTAATAATATTCAAAGAATGTTTCACTGAAATAGAACAAATATGTCTTTGTTAGGTAAAACTGTTTAACATAAGACTTTTTGTCACTCTTAACGACCGTATTACGTCAAAGCTGTTTCAGATGGCAGATGATTGTTTAGCTTTTGGTGGTCAGTGGTTATAAGTGGATTTATTTGTGGAAAAACTCTAGTTTGAATTAAACCTAACATCCTTTGTTTCTTAGGATATTTGTTTTAATGGTCTGAATCTTTAAAAAAATAAACCATGTTATTAATATATTACATGTATTATTTTTGTAACCTTTTTTATGAACAATTGAACTGATAAATAAGTGAACTTATTCACTTCTTTGCTTAAATTTTGACAACCCCAATCATTGGCAAAATGAGCAACTTTGTTTTAATAAGTTTAAGACTCATTTTTAGTAAATGAAATCCATATACAGTATCACGTGATGTAGACTGCAATTTTGCTATTAGATGACTGAGAAAAGGAACTATATAAAGATTATTGTTTAAATAAACTAAAATAATTGAACTATAGTTCTGTTAAAGGTAAAAAACGTTTAACTATAGTGTCATCTGAAATTTGGAGGTTTACTTTGTCTTTGATCCTTAGTTAATGATACCATTACTAGTTCATATGTAAGCTCTTCATAAATAGAGCAAAATGTTTATTACAGGTTTTAATTTTTTAAAATTAGAAGTAACTAAAGATACCTACTTTAGTTAATTTTCTGACTTGGGAATTTGCAGGGAAATTCTCACTTGTGGGCTGAGGATTGGATAGCTGATAAGTTTGCTTTAGAAGCTAGGTCTGCAGTACAGTGGCTTTGGTTCCTTTTATTGATTCTAAAACAGTTGCTTGGACTGGGTCAGGCAGAGAGAAAGGTTATTTACCTTCGTGTGGCACTCCCTTTGGCAAGCAAAGGATCCTCTGTGCTGTAGCTGATTGATAAGTGTTGAATAACTAGTTTTACATTTTCTGTGTGCTTGTGTTACTTAATATGGATGTTTGGTGTGCTTATTAAGTGCATCACTGTGGTCTTTGGATTGTTTGGTGTCAAATATTTGATTGTGGTTTGTAGTTAATCTGCCCATCTGTGTTTCAATGAAAATGTGGTTACCATCTTCAGAAAGAGGTTAGATCATAGTGTTAGTTTGGCTTATTTTTGGTTAAAGTTAACCGTGCTTTTGTGGTTGATTTTTACAAGTTCTGCACTGCCTGCATTGGCCTAATGACTGTAATGGATTAATTTATCAAAATAGTGCGAATTAAAGTTACCTGCCTAACAGAAGTCAGAGTCCTTTACTTAATCAGTTAAGTCATATCTCATTTCAGAAGAAAGCATCCCCTTACTCTACTCCCTTTGTGGATTACCTCTCCTATCCCACAAGCCTCTCAAAACCCTGCCTTTTGGTTCCCTGGGTAGTTGTTAGTCTGCTATCACATGTAAAGATTATATGTGAGGGAACATCTGTGGGTTTTACCTGTTTAGTCAGGGAGTGGAGAATGATTTTTTCTATTGGTTGTCTGGGTAGGGGTGGATGGGTGTCACATTCCATTTAGAGTGTGGTTTATCCTATTTTTTGGGAACCTTAACAGACTGGATACAACCCAATACTGTGTGTATGTCAGGTTAGATGGAACCTCTGAATGTCGGTACATCTCTTATGTGATATCTAGTTAAGCTTCTTTTGGAATCATGTTAAAGGAACTGAATGTGTTTAAGCGTTGTGCAAATCTGTTAAAGCAGTTGAGAATATCAAGTCACCCCAAATCACAGCATTCAGTCTAGATAAAGTTTATGTAAGGCATTTTTTAGAGAAAGTTATTCTAATATAGTATTGGTTAATTTGTTTTCAGGTTTTGAAAAAACAAATATTATTTTAAAGAACATGCACAAATGATTTAATCGATTGAATTATTTCATATAGGAAATATTTGCCTCTACATATTTCAGTTTTTTTCTCACTTTCTTGTTGTCTTTGAAGTAAAAATGCAGTAAGATAGTTTTATTTTTGAAGTTGGGTTAAATATGTCATTCTTTTTAAAAACGTTACTCACAGTTTAATGGGTAAATATTTTAAACAAATTTATAGCTAAGAAAAAATTTCTGCTCATAAAAATCATACAGTCTGTAGGGCCATAGGCATAGAAAATTGCACATCATTTGAGTGAAATTTGGTCTGTGCTTAGAGTATTTTCTGTAAGTAGTGGAATGTATTTTTCTTGGCCTTAACTTTCATGTTGGATAACATAACTGACCCATGACATTTGCAAGGGCTCTATCCTGAGGCCTTCACAGATCCATTGATCCGTAAGTGTTTTCATACTACTGCTGAGTTAGAGGTGCTGGGTGGTTGGTTAGAATTGCTTGCTACCTTGGTGCCTTGCATACCAGCTTAGATGGATAGAGTGGGTCAAATTGTTGCTCTGTCCTTGCAGACCTCTAACGGGTAGATTCACTGCCCCTTGTAAATGACTATAGGTTGTCAGACTTTCACAGTTTTTCACAAATTGTTAAAAGCAACATCTTAGATCTGTGCATGTCAGTGTGTTCATTTATACTTCCTCGGTGCTAGTGGAGAACTGGCAGCTAGTGGGCCAGAAAATCTCCAGATTAAAATTAAAATTAAAATTGTCGTCATCCAAAGGGTAACTTGTTCCCCCGTATCACAGAGAAGCTAACTTGTTCAAATGCTATTATGATCTGCTACTGCTAAAGTTTGTATTAGGTTTATGAGCAGGGGAATGACAGAGAATCCTCATTACTTTTTGGAAGAAAAGACTAAGGTAGAATGAAATGATTTATTTGGAATTTGATTTTTGGTCTAGTAATTGAACAAGTAAAAGGAGGAAGTAAACCAAAAAGGAGGATGTGGTTATACTGGCAGTTTACACTTTATTTCTGTGTGTTTCAAGGATCTGCTCATGGAACACTGGCGCTGCTTTTTATTTGATAACAGCTTTATTGAAGACATAAAGTGTAAAATTCACTTATACTTTTAGGTTTTTAGTATACTCACAGAGTTTTGTAATCATCACAGTCAATTTTGCAATATTTTGAAAACTCCCCAAACATAATCCATGCCTTTTAGCAGTCACTCCTTCCCCATTTTCCCCCAACTCCTTCACCATCAGCCTTCGGTAGCAATTAGTCTACTTTCTGTTTCTATGGATTTGCCTTATCTAGACATTTTGTATAAATGAAATCATATGTGCTTTTTGTGTCTGGCCTTTTTTATTTTATTTTATTTTTTTACAAAGTTTAATATTTTCAAGGTTCATCCATGTTACTGCATGCATTAGTACTTCTTTTTTTTTTTCCTAAGACGGAGTTTCGCTCTTGTCGCCCAGGCTTGAGTGCAATGGCACAATCTCGTTTCACTGCAACCTCCGTCTCCTGGATTCAAGCGATTATCCTGCCTCAGCTTCCTGAGTAGCTGGGATTACCACCACACCCGGCTAATTTTTTTATTTTTAGTAGAGACGGGGTTTCACCACGTTGGCCAGGCTGGAATCGAACTTGATTACCCTAGTACTTCTTTTTTAAAAATATTTTTAATTGAGGTAAAATATACCTACGTGATTTACCATCTTTACCATTTTTAGTGTAAAGTTCAGTGAATATACATTTGTATATTTATATTCTTTTTTTCCCCTTCATCCCCCCACTCCCCTTCCTGGCCTCTGGTAATTACCAGTTTATTCTCTATTTTTGAGATCTACATTTTTAGCTCTCATGTAAGAGCAAGAACATGTGACATTTGTCATTCTCTGCTTGGCTTGTTTCACTTAGCCTTTGCCTGTGGTTTCATCCATATTGCTGCACATGACAGGATTTCATTCTTTTTTATGGTTGAATTAAATATTCCATTGTGTGTATATACCACAGTTTCTTTATTCATTCATCTGTTAATGGGCACTTAGGTTGGTTCCGTA